TTATCTTAAATAGATATAAAAATATATCTATTAAATTATTTTTATATAATTTTTTTTAATAAAATAATTTTTTAAATATTTAGAAATATTTAATTAACATGAAATATTATAATCATATAAAAATATAATAAAATATTTTTATAAGATTTATGCTTAAAATACTTAATATATAAAAATTAATTATACTTATCTTGTTTACTAAAAATTTTAATATTAAAAAATTCTTGAAATATTATTATTTTTATATTTTTATAATAAATCATAAATTATATTTTTAATAAGATAACTTTTTAATTTATAATATAAATAAAATAATTAATTTTTTTATCATTATAATATTATAAATTCTTAATTGACTTGTTTACTTGCTAGATATTAATTTTATTAAGAATTTGAGAATTATATTTAAGAAAAAGATAAAAAAAAATAATTAATTAATTAAAATTTTAAATAATAATATAAATAAAATAAATAAATTTGAATAAAAATTTCTTTTTTTAATTAGTAAAAAATATAAAGAATCATATTTTAATGATAATAAAATAAAAAAAATTAATTATTAAATTTTTTATAAATAATTAGTAATTATATTTAATAAAAATAAAATATCTTATCTATTATAATAAATTCTAAATATTTATATTAATCACTATATATTAAATTTTATTATTACTTATTTTTAGATTATTATTTAATAAATCTTAATAAATTATAACTTATATTTTATTAATATACTTTTAAGATTCTTTTAATATTATTAAGCTTATAATTATTTATTAAGTTTACAAAATCTTATAATAATTTAAAATTAAAACTTAATAAAAGATTAATTTATATCAAAAAGATAATAATAATAACTTTATAAAATAACTAATTAATTTATTAATAAAAAATATTAAAATTTATAATTTTATTGATTTTATTTTTATATTAAAAATAATATTTATAATCAGATCTTTTTATAATTATAATACTTAAAAAGTAAAATTAGATAATTCAAAAAAATATAATTATAAAGAGATTTTTTTAATTATAATTAATTAATAACTAAAAAATTCAAAAAAAATAACTATAAAAAAAGATGATTATAAAGAGATCTAATTATATTTATAATTTAAATATATTTCTGAAAGTTATTTTATTAATAAAATTATTAAGAAAATTTTTTTAATTAATTTTATTTTTAATTAGAAAAAGTTTTCTTAATAATTTTATAATTAGAATAATTCTTCAGAAATAATTAAAAAATCTAAAAAATATATTTTTAAATATAAATTATAAATTATTTACTATAAAAATAAAATTTATAAAATTATAAAATTGAGAGTCATATAATATATAAATCTCTTCTAAGTTACTTTCTAGAAAACAACCAACATGTTAAAAAAATTTTATTCTTTATACAAAAATTTTTTATAACGTATTTTTTCATACAAAGAATAAATTCTAGCAAGAAAAATATTAAACAATTGCGTGTAATTTTTTCATTGGACTATATGCAAGTTCTATATTTAGATCTGCGATCTGTTTATCATAATAATCATGCCGACAATCATATGATATGCAATTATTCTCCTGACGCAAATAAATACACAAAAAAATAAAACTAGATGAATAAATAACATAGACGCACAAACAAACAAACCCGACATTTTTGTAGCTCGGCTATAATGAATGCTGTTTCACATTTTCTGCATTTTCGATCATGGTGTTGAAACAACGAAATGGTAGAAATTACTAGAACCAAAGACTCAGAACGACCTATTCAAAAGGGTTCCATTAATCCCGAATAAGAAAAAGAAAAAAACGCCACTAAATAGCATACGAACGAATCACATGCTCACATTGTATGCATACCTGCAATTAAATATTCTATTTCGAGTTCCTGAAACACAAACCCCCCTTGTTAATCATTTTTAATAATCCCTGACCTTAGCGAATCATATGCCATATCAAAATATAATACAATTTCTTTCGTTCTTAGCAAAATTAAATTACGCAATAATTATGATAGCTAACAGTAAATGGATAGAATAAAAATGGATCAATGGCGGAATGGACGAAAGCGAAATGACTTTTAAAACGTGTGAAGGAATATTCTTTTTTTACTCCTGAGCAAGAGATCCAAATAAAGCAAAAGAACGATGTGTTTTAGTTTAGGCCAAGAAATTAGCTAATATGTATTTTTTTGGAATAATAATGAACCTAATGATGGGTATGTTATTTTGTTTCATGTGCACTTCCAGACAAGAATTATGTTAAGCCGAGCCACAAGTGGCACCAACTAACCAATTCCATTGTTCATTATAGGTGCTAAGGGATAACGAAAGGTTTCTTGTGTCACCGTATATGCTGTCATTGTCTCATTGTCTTTTTTGTAATACGGTATGAATCACTGTGCATTTAAAGTAAGAAATATATACCGTTTCGAATTTGCATTGTTCACTGACGCAAATGAGAAAACGGGGGAGAGAGTCATGTGGATAGAAAAACATTTTTTACCTGTTTCTTGAAAACTTTAAATTAATCGTTTTATCTCCATTGTGTCTGATCCGATGCAAATACAATTCAATCCAAGCCAATTCAAGTAAATCAAGCCAATTCAAGTAAATCAAGCCAATCCAGACTTGTGCAGAATTTAGACTATTATAAAAAAGGGAAAATTTATTCCCTATGGATCATAGAAAACACCATACATATACATTTGATACACGTATATATACATATATATATATATATATATATATATATATATATATATATATACATATATATAAATATATATATGATATGTTGAATGAATGCATCAATAGTATGATTTTATCTTAAAAAAGGGTTATGCGAGGAAAATCTAACTCAATTTCGATTTATTTTCCTTATGCATGCATTAATTAAAATGTGATTTTTGATAGTTTGTTATCGATAAAGTAATGAAACAACCAAAATCTAAAGAGAATAAATTTGTGACGAGAAAAAACCGAGATTCAGATAAACAATGACGATTAACTATACATGAAAAGAAAAAGTAAAAAAAATTTGTTTCAAAAGTTTAGCATCGATGCAAGTTGTCAATCATCATCATTGTTCTCTCTTTAGTTGTTTATTTTTCTTAATTTAGGTAAAGTGTGTATGAATGTTGTGTGACAACAAGCGAAATCGAGTTTTATCCAAAACCATTTTGATTCCTCAAATGTTCTGACACTATGCACTCCGAAATGAGTATTTATTATTATTATTATTCAGCAATGCATTGGAATAATAGTTAAAATTCAGCAACCTTATCAATAAATCAAATAAAAATCGAATCGTAAGTGTAAGAGTGACGTTATTTTTTCATTATAAAAACCGGAATTATGTTGTGTCATCCGATTATTGCTTGTTACGTTTTCAAAACTAATGCTTCTCCACAAAGGCTTTAATTTTCCCCACAACGGCTTGAAAGCTTAAAAAAAATTACGTACATAAAGATACGCAGCATATATACGGTATATGATAGATCAAAGATTTAAACAATATACAAATAAAAAACAATAAAAAAATATAACAATAATTGTAGGATAAGACTACACACGATAGCATTACAATAATATAATATATATAATAATAATAATAAATAACGAAGATGATGATTAAAAGACTACACTGTAATAATTATAAAAAAAACAATAGCAATAATAGATCAAAGGTATAAACAATGGGAGAAACAGTTTTACATTAATAGACAACAAAAATAACAGGTATTCATTCGGTTAACCGGATTATCAATTTATAGTGCTTTTGTTTTTTGCAGCCAATTATGAAGGTAAAGAGGCAGCATATTTGTTGTTTACCGAATACAGATATACCTAGCACGACATATGTATATGTATATAAAACATATGTGCATGTAAAATAGCATAAAAAATTGATCCACACTTTAGTTGTCCATTATTGACATAATTTAAACAATGAGCGAAAAAATAGTCCGCATGCATGCATAAGATAACTACTATCATAACTCCCTCCCTTTTTTTTTACTTTATTGAACAAATGTTGAATGATGTTTTTGTGCATTGGGTTTAATAAGCAAATTTTTTTTAGCATACTAAAATATCAATTATTATTTGACAATGGTTAAATTGATATGTCTAGTAATTGCGTATTATTTAGCATATCTAGTAAGTAATTACGTATTATTAGCATATATGAAATAATATGATAATTAATTCGGTCATTTGACGTGATAATAAAGTCGTTGATGATCACGACCGATTATCTTTTGACAACAGAGACGGCGCGTTCACAAAAAACACAAAAGTAAACAAAAAATTTGCCGATTCCAAATATCGACATTGGCTAAATTTTATTTTTGAGTTATTTAGGGGGGCAATGAGTGAATTTGACAAAATGCGTGGGGGGTTATGTATTTTCTGTTAATTACCAACGCTTCTATAATGTTATTTGTCTATTTGTTTATCTATATTTTTTTCCATTTATATATATCGCCGCTTTTTTCCCCTTCTCCCTCTTCCCAAATAGAGGAATTAGCTTTTCGCCATACATTGGAAAAAACAACATAGTTAATAATAATTATTATTATTAGAGTCCACTGTTATTCATACTTTGTTTTTGGTATAAAGTTTGTTTTTGACGGAGTGATATAGTCGTCAAATTTTTTGGGGTGAATTTTTATTAAATGTTAATTGAAAATCTAAATATAAAAAATATATTATAATGAGAAACGTATATATTTTTTCTTAGCAATATTTCTTTTCTTTCTAAAAATTATTCGCACCACAGTGGGTCTCATACAAAGGAGATTACACAATAGCCAAATATATATACATATATATATTTAAATAAAAGCATATATTATAAAAAACCTATATAACAAGTTGCAATTAAACAAAAAAAATTCTCACTTATTTTTACATACATATATTTTTTAGGTTATAACATTTTTATTTTTACCAACCTCATTATTATTTATTTTTTTTTATTTTTTTATCATCATCATCATCATGCCTTCCCAAAAATCAACAAAAATAACGGAGCAACAAGAAGACGCATTACCAACAGAAACACCAACAGCAGCAGATTCACCTACATCCACAGATAATAACAATGATGAATCGATCCTTAATCAACACGAAGAATCTACTTCAACTATTACTATCACGGCTACCACTACGTCACTTCAAGCACAGTTTGACAAAAATATCTCGAAAAAATCAAATGTTACTATTGATAATGCTGCTGATAACAATATCGCCGCCACAACAGCCACAGATACAATCAAAGAAAGTATTATTGCCATGTCTACAAGTACCACCACCGATAATTCAAGTGTGATAGACGAGGAGGAGGAGGAGGAAATGGAGGAGGAAGAAAGCGAAGAAATATCAAAGAAAACCGTATCTACAGAAGAGACTCAAACGAAAGCAACGATCATACCAACAAAAAATAAACAAAACAAGGTGTCAAGTTCCAAGGCGAAAAAGGCGAAAAGAGACGACGATTCTCTTTCCACCTCGGAATCTCACATGCAACTACCACCACCACAGTCATCGCCATCACCACCGCCACCTCCTCTTACTCCGTATAATATTAAGAAAGCCGACTTGTCACCTTCCGCGTCATCAACAACACTAACAACGTTTCAACATCTCATTCCAACGCAACATCACTCCCCGAGAAAACTTCCACCCAAGGAGATAAACGAATCGAATATCGCTGATCGATATATCGAATTCATCTTCTACTGTAACCCTTCCGCACCAATTGAAACTGACGTGTCATCCTTGCAACGCGCTTTTCAAGCTGTTCCGAAATCGGACGGAAAGGTTTTCCATCCATACGTATTATTTCAACTGGTGTGTCGACATGAGCAAGGCGAGATTAAGACCTGGACGAAGCTAGCACAGCAATTAGGCGTGGAAAAAACGGACGAGTCTAGCCCGCAGAAAATTCAACAATACGCAGTGAGATTAAAGGTCAGTATTCCCTTTTTCATTATTAATCACATTTAATAATATATAAAATAATGGTGAATAATATAAATTTTATTACGAAAAGTAAACGAAAAAGATGCAACAGCTGCAGCAAACATATGCAATCATACATAGCATTGCATCTTTTTTATTCATTTTTTTTGATCTACAACGCTGAAACAACACATATACAGTGTTTCGGTAATACCAAAAAAAAGCTTTACGACAGACAGCTGTACCTGCTTTCTCGTCTATAAATGCAAGTCTCCGATCAAGCGCGACTTTCATCGGATTTAATAATATCCAATCATATTGTGGCGCAGAATCATGATCTTAAATTATCCTTATATATTATTATTATTATTATTATTCTTATTATATTATTTATTATCGATAACATCTAATATGATATACACGATCATTTGCATCGCTTTACTCGTCATCAAACTTAATTTACTAATCATCAAACTTAATTTACTATTTGGACTATAATAGAAATGGATGCGTTCTATACATCTGGATGCTTTTTTCGATTATCTATTATCAAAGCCAAATGAATACTATCTCGAACCACACAAGAATCCAACTGGAACTGAAGAGACTACAACCTCGACAACAGCAGCAATAGATGATGATGCTGATGACGCAGATCTCGTGTTAAAATTAATCAAACGGGCAAATAGCAAACGAAAGAAAAGAAAATACACTCGACGTAATACTATCGGTAGCACTAGTGGGGGTGGTAGCGGTAGCGGTATCGATTTTGACAATGAAGAACCACAACAGCTGAAAGATGATTCAAAAGAAAAGTCCACGACGTCATCATCTAAGGCTACAAGAAACGAAGAGCGACCTGAGAAAAGAATCAAAGTCGCTTTTTCTGAAGCGAGTAGTGGAAATGATGACGAAGATGATGCGGCGGAACCTATCGAGGAAGATCTTCAGGATATTGAGGGTGAAGATCCTGATTTACGTATTGCCCGTCGTCGAAGTATTGTCCAGGTTGGAGTTGGACCTCGATGGGTTAAAGATGAGGAGGAAGAGGAGTACAAATATGAAGACGGTAATGGAACAGAAGCATCATCATCTGCGTCTGTTGCTACTTCTAAACACAAGGATGCTACTAATAAAAAGAAAGCTGCTAGCAATAATAGTCGGAGCAATAATAATAACAAATCATCATCGTCAAAAAATAATGCTTCAACTCGAATTTCTTCAGCAGCACCTGCACGTGAAATACTATTACACCTCGGAAAATCAAAACCCTTCGATCACATACCAACACCCAATCCATCACCAACAGCAGAAATGCGATATCATCATCAGCACCCTGGCCATAGTTCGCTCAGTAGCGTTGCAGGTTTCGATAGAAATACCGTCGATTCTTCATCCACAGCATCTGGCAATAATACACAGAATATCAAATGGCGTACTATTTCTATAGGTGGTGGTCCTTCCGTGGCTCAGGTGTCTACCTCTTCATCCCTTCAAAAAGGGATTAAAAGGAAACATAGCGTTGATGTATCACCAACTGGCCATTATGATACATTTCGTGTTCAAAAACAAAAACATCAGCATCCTCAACCTCTGCCACAACCACCGCCACCTCAGCCACAGCTACCACCACTACCGCCACAACAATATCCTGATCACTATCAAAGGTTTGGCGCACCACCACCACCACCATCATCATCATCATCATCAATCAATAACTGGAATTGGTCTACTTCCATGAACTCATCATCATCATCTACCACACCATATAACGAAAAAAAATCCATATACACCGAATTCTTTTATCCTCCAGTTACTTCAAATTCGCCAGACGCTGTCACCACACTTACCGAACGACTGACGAAAGCGGTTGAAATGCTGGAAAAAAGTCACCGTCGAATTGAGCAATTGGAAAATTCTATGCGACAACACGATGAAGAATTTCGACGAAAATTTAACGAGATGAAAAACGATATGGTTGGGTTACTTAAAAGATGGGGAGATTAATTGAGCTAACTTTGCTGATTTATTGAATATGTTCTTTGATAAGTGCAAAACTGGAATTTGGATTTCATTTTTTCTTTTTATACATATATTGCTTATAAATATTATTTCATTTATACATACATACCTTCATATATACATATCTCTATACACCAATATTATATATATATATATATATCCGAAGTACATGATGATGAACACTATAAAAATGTACAGTTTTTTTCTTATACTCCCATTTTCCCTCTCCCCTTCATAATATCTAAATTGTATAGCATACATATATTTATATTTTCTTTGTAGGATTTTTTTATTAGATTAGGAGTTTTTATTTCTTGGGTTTTATCGGGTTATGTTTATGATTTTTATCTCGTGATTTAGGGTAACGCTTGAAAATCTCTGGCAGATAGCTTGGTATAGGTTTCCCTTCTCTAACGTTTTTTTCTATTTTTAGCAGTAGTAAGTAGTGAAGTCCCGCGAGGTTATGTTTTCGATTTAGCCGCGGACTCTTTCTCTTTTTTCCCATCTCTGCTCTCTTTCTCTCGCCTTACTTTCTTGAAGGCTGATTGATTGTTTAGTTCGTTGTTTTTTTTACGGGTTTTATTATTGGGATTTGATTTCTACTATTGTATGTTTTCCCCGGGGTTATTTTTCATAGTTGATTGGTTAGTTTGGGCTTTATGTAATTTTTTTTATTGATGTTTGATTATTGCTACTGCGAGAAGAGAGCAGGAAAGGAGAGAAATCTTTGTTTTGTTGCGTTTTATACCTAATTTTTGAGTTTGAAGTTGGATGTTGAAATCATGTATTGTCTACCTCATGTATCAACAAGTCCTTATATCGAAACCCAAATTCAAATTCAAAAATATTGATGTTCATGTTATATAGGAACTTTTCAAAGTTGAGCATCCCTTTATAAATCCAGTATCGCAGTTGTTCAACACTCAAGAATATCATTTTTATCATGATTAAATGAATAAAAAAAAAGTTTCTATTGTCCATCTCATATTGAATAATCAATAATCACTAGAACTCGTATTAACAAATCTCGAACTGAGCATGAGCAACAGTTGATCAACTAATTTTAGGAACCAGATATTATTAAAATACAAATATTCAAAAAATCAATAATAAATAAAAACGTGACGATAAAAACCAAAATTATGGTACAAAGGTATTTTCTTACAATTTAAGAAATTAACATATATGAAGCTTACTATTACTATCCACCACCATTACTACACACAAAAACGCCTTATAGGAAAACTAAAAGAGCATCATATTTCCAAAGTGGATGAAGAAGGTGACTTCATCAAAGCCTCAATAACAGACGTAAGCGGTTTCATTTCCGGCTGTTCAATTAAATCAAATTCTTGCACGAAATACACAAAATGTTTCAAGCTAGTATTCAGATGTGGACCTTCCTCTAACGCTGTGATCGCAGTCATGTGTGAGAGGTAAATGTGCGCGTAGACTCGGAAAAGACGCTTGAATATTTTTTTGACAATCTCTCGAAAGTTTTTCGGGAATGGATTTCCTAAGTCGCATGGCATCAATTAAACAAAAATTAGATTCTGGCTAAAATGAGAACTCAACATTGGCGGATAAGCTCATTTACCTAGCGTACTGGGAAAAATATTCTCATCATTCATTTGTTCTTGAATCCATGTCATCAGATGATCCACATATTCTGGCGCCGATAACTTTATGGGCTTTTTAACATTTACATCATCAGACCATAGATATTCTAAGCTAGAAAGATGTCGGGTTTAGAATAATATAGCATGAAAAATTTAACTGGTTAATTATCGATTTACCTGGCGCCAGCTGACATTATAGGACATTGTTGTGGAGTGCAGAATTCTGTGATGGTACTATATAGCATATTTATCTGATTAAAGAAATCGTATGCTTTATTACAAAAATAAATTAAAATTTAAAATTAATATATATTTTTTTTTCATTTTCCTTATCCCGCAATGAAATCTCTAAATTTCTCGATGCGATAAATTTTTTTTCCGTTAAATTGAAAGTATACCTACTATTGACAGCTAACCATTCATTTATATCTTCACCCTCTGGTAATACTACCGCCAACTTCAGATCACCTGAACTAAGCGTAGCTTCCGCGTATTTCTGTAGCTGATATTGTTTAGTGTCCTCAGCCAATGGCTTTTTTCCTTTGAAGGTTTTCGTCTTTCTAGCGTTTCCATTGTTGTTATAAGTAGATTGAATTGGGTAAACCAAGTATTTGAATCTTTATTAATTTTTATAGTTTGATTTGATTTGATTGTTGATTTGTTACATCCCCAGTAAAAACCCACAACACAAGAAATTATGATTTTAGGGAAGTTATATAAATAGAAGAACTTTTTAAATTTTAATGATTAAAATTAAATTTTCATTTATTTAAGAGAGAAGAGAAATCAAAATTATTATATTTTCAATTTTCTAGATTTGTTTCTTTCAACAAGACATACAATTTTGCTCATTTCAATTCTCAAACAAAAATTATAAAAAAGATATACTTACAGGCCATTGAGAATATTCATGTTGCTTCTTTTGAGACAAATTAATTTTTACTGCTCGTCTTTTACAAAGGAAGTAACAAAAAAAGGTGTATTAATGAAGGAGAGCTTAATTAAAGTCGTGTATTTAAAATTTCGCTAAAGAGTAAGGGGTCTTGTGTAAATTAGGAGTTTTGATAGACGCTGCATGTCAGACAAAACATTCGAATGCATCATTATTCCATGCATTCAATCGATTGATTAAAGAATACCATTTATCTTTGACAAATTTAATTTCACTAAAGATAAAAATCAAGATAACTTTTCAACAATTGCTACTTTACACCGCCTAATATTTTTGATGTATTATTTACTCTAATAATGCCTACTTAGGGTTTTATATGGAAGGTGAAGCAACTACTAAATGATAAATCAATAGAGGAAAACAACATCGGGATTTCTCACTCATATTAATGATATTAATGGTAAAAGGATTCCATCAGTTTTTTGGTTTCCACTTCAAACGATCCGCCGGCTTGAAAAATCCACACTTGCATAGTAATAGAGTTAGCAGAGTGGATGATCCTGTGGATGATCCTACTTGGTAAAGAAATTCCTTCACACAGACTAGAGTAAATAAATACTACGAAATTTAGAAATTCCGAACTTGAAAAAAAGGCAGATCATCTTTATGCAGAAATTCTCCATTGTGCGTAGTAGCAAACGTTTGATATCACTTTGCTCAAAAATACCGATTCAAATTTTTTTACGACAGTCAGAAGTCGGGGGTTGTCCTTTTTTCTTTTTGGTTTCTCAAGTAATTAGAGGAAGTCACGGGACTGACAAAGAAATAGAATTTAGCGCATCCACATGATTTCGGCTTGCTCTTCATCCGGTGCGCTAAATAAAGCAACTAACAGTGATACAGATTGTGACGAATAGCATGTGACAGCTTTGTGACGAAATGTTCACTTTGTTGCAGTACGCCCCATATTTAATGTTTTCCTAAAGAGTCGACCCCATTAAAAAGAACCCTCTATAAAGGAACAAAGAAATTCTATAAACAATTGCTGCAAGATTAAGTTAACTTATTTTTGCTTATTATTGCTCTCAAAAATGGAAAATCATTTAAGAAATGGTGCAGCGATAATTTCACATGCTATCATAATGATTCCAGACACATAGTTTGAAATTACGAAAGCGTCGAGTAAAAGTAGAAGTTTCGAATCGGAGTGATTTATTCCAAATCTGACCAGCGATCGTGTTGAATTTTGAACTAGTTCACCGAAGCAACACATGACATTTTAAATTGAAAAATAATAAAATCTATTTGCTATTTATTATGTGACAATGTTGTCCACTAATTCGTAAAAATCGAAGAGATCCTTGATTGAAACTTTTAAATTTCTTGGCGTGTAAGTGAAATTTTTTGAATTGAACTTTCATAACTAATTAAATGCATTATTTATAAAATATTTTTTCACGACTTAGAAAACTGATTAATTTAGAATATTTCCGCTTATTTGGGAAATTTGTTAATTATAGCCTTAGGATAATTGGTATTTTTGATACATATAAATAAATTAATAAATAAATATGCTATTATACATCAGTTATATCTAAAAAATGTTCATTAACGAGTATTCTAATCTCTTTAACTATAAATTCCTCGATTTTAACTAAAGTAGAAGATTCTTGCGTCATCATTTTCTCAATTGCAATCTGGTAATTATTTTTCCGCAAAATTTGCGATTCCGATAATTCGCTTGAAACATATTCTATGCTACGTTTAGTTCCTTGTACGCGATTTCCCCAAAAACTGAAATTTAGGTTTCGGCTAGGCTCGTTATGCCGAAAAATCGCGGATCCCGTGATCTTTGGACGAAAAATTAGAAAGAGATTTCCATTTTCCGTTTTCATTCCTTTTAAAATGAATTTGATATCTTCGTTTGGTTCAATTATCGTTTTTGGCTTTGTTTTTGAAATTTTTGAAAATAGAAAACAAGAGCCCAAATTAACTTTGAAATTAACGAAATTTGCATTGGCTCTTCAATTCTTATCGATGGACTCACCCATATCACGAGATTCCATTCATAGTTTTGTCTGATAATGTTAGCATACAACCTGTCAATTATTTCCGATATCAATTTCGACGTTCGCCGCAGTTTCCAAATTTTATTGAACCTGTCAAGAAATCAATAAGTTACTGTTTAAGTTTATAAACTATGGTGTTGACCGAGGCTCACCTTTCTTCATTTACACATTCCGCGAAGATTTTGAACCACAACTCAATTGGCAGTTTTGAAAACATCATTATGTCTTGTCAATAGCTTTTTTTTAACTAGTACATGTATTTATATTAAACAGATCAACACAACACTCCCGATAGTCATTTACATTAAAATTTACTTTATTGGATCTTTGATTTGTTTAACGTTATCGTTATTACCATATTTATTCATAAGGTTAAGGTTCCACCGCAGTAACCATTTCTATCTTCAAACTGATAACGATAAACGATGACCTCATAGCATTACAACTGCTAAAAAAAGTAGGAATCGTTATCTGTGTGTGAGAGAATTTCAGATTATGCAAAATTAAATGAAAATCTAGCATTAAATATGCCTCCACAAATTGCTTATGAGAGCGTCAAGAATAACGTAAAAGGAATGTTAATTAAATATATTACTGACAGAAACACATAAAAAAATAATGCTGGCCCGATTTCTATTTTTGAGGGGTTCTTATCTGTGGAAAGTTTCAACATCATAAATCGATGAGTATCGCTCACAAAAATATTCGTTTCAATAAGATGAATTCAAAAAGGTATAGATTATTGAATATGAACCCTTGGTTGTGGTGAAATTCGGTAATAAATTATAATTCAGAATTTATGCTTACAATCAAACCTCACACTTTCTACACCTGAAGAAGAGATCCGAACGGTTCGGTAATTACTATTACCGATCGGTCGGTAAAACCGAATTTTTCGGTAATTATTCGAGCTGATAGCTTCGAATAGTTTTTGAATAGTTTTTGAATAATTACCGATCGGTAATGCCCGCATTCGGTTTTGCCGAATCTAACGATTTTTTTAAATGATGTAATTAAAACTTCATTTAAAAGTATAATTATTCATTACAATCCATTGTATTAATAATTTTCTCCTTAAATGATCAAAAGTGTTCAAATTGGGAGCTTTAAAAAAAATAATAACACTTTTGTTTAAAAATGGCAATTTTAAAAATATTTGTACTTAAAAAAAAACTATTTTATTCAATAAAATCAGATAAATTTCTTAATAAATCTAATTCTTGTGATTAATTATTAAATAATTTTTATATATTTTCTAAAGCTTTAATTCAGCACTTTTAATAAAAAATTTCAAATAATACTGCATTATCAAAATTTATAATATTATATAATATTATTTCAGAAAAAATATATGAATTTTATAATACAGTAGCAGTTAAAAGTATCTAATCTCTTATAACTTTTTATATTAAAAATTTTTTGGTTTAAACTTTTGAAATAATTAAAAATTATTATATTAAAAATTTAAATCTCTTTATATTAATAATAAAAAATTTAGTTAAAAAATTAAATTTTAAATTTTAATATTAAATTATTTTATATATATATACAGTGGCAATCAAAAATAATGCAACGCTTAAATTTTTTACTAATTATAATTAGTAAAATACATATTTTTTCTTA